AGGAAAGTGCAGGGCGTAGCAGTGAAGATAAGGCAGTAAGAAAGAGAGAGTGTCCTTTTTGGTAAGTGGAAGGTCTTTTGGGACACATTTCAATATAGTTCTATGGTTGGAAGTTATTGTTAGGAGCGCACACTAATTCTTTTTCATTTAAAAAAATAAACAGAAGAAATTTAGCTTCTTTTTAAAAAGTTGAGGGGCCAGACCGGTGGCGTAGTGGTTAAGTGGGCGCACTCCACTTTGGCGGCCCAGGGTTCGCACCTTTGGATCCTGGGGGTGCACCAATACACTGCTTGTCAAGCGGTCCTGTGGCGGGGTCCCATATACAAAGTAGAGGAAGATGAGCACAGGTGTTAGCTCAGGGCCAGTCTTCCTCAGCAAAAAAGAGGAGGATTGGCATGGATGTTAGCTCAGGGCTGATCTCCCTCACCAAAAAAAAAAAGTTGATGTAAGTTCTGATAGAAGGTGTGGGTGTTCGAAATTGCAATTCAGTTTCATGTATATGGCAGCTACCTGAGGAAAAGTCTTCTAACACCTATTTCATAGCTCTTTTCTATGTTATTTATTCATCCATCTTATCTTGGGTGTTAGTTTTTGCCGTAATAAATAACCACAAACTTGTCAATTAGTTCTACCGTAACAAATTACCACAAACTTGGTGGCTTAAGACAACAGAAATTTACCGCCTCGCGGTTCTGGAGGCCAGAAGTTTGAAATCAAGAGGTCAAGGGCGTGCCCTCTCTGAAGGTCCTAGGGGAGGATCCTTCTTTGCCTCTTTGTAGCTTCTGGTGGTTGCTGGCAGCCTAGGCTTTCCTTGGCTTGTAGCTACATTAGTACCATCTCTGCCTCCATGTCACGTGGTGTTCTCCTTCCTGTCTGTGTGTCCTCTCCTTCTCGTAGAAGGACACCAGTCATGTTAGATTTAGGGCCCACCCTAATCCACTGTGACCTCATCTTAAATGATTACATCTACAGATTCCCTATTTCCAAATAAGATCACAGTCTGAGGTTCTGGGTGGACAAGATTTGGGGGAACACTATTCAACTCAATACACTTTGTGTCTTATCAGTCTACTTATATTACTTTAAGAGTTTTTTGTTTTGTTTATTTTACAAATTGTATTATTTTTAATGTCTCTTAACATATGGAAGTATTATTCCATTCTTAAAAGTCTGTTTTTGTTTTGTTTTTGCATTTTGCCAACTGAATTAAAAACTACATAAAAGTTGAAAGAGTAATATGACAACAATCCTTAAACTTTCACCTAGACTCACCAATTTTTAATATTTTACTACTTTGTTCTTTATCTATATAAAAATTTTTTCCTGTACCATTAAAGTAAATTGCACAAATTGTAACACTTCCTACCTAAATATTGAAGAATGTACTAAGAATAAGGACATTATTCTCCATAACCACAAAGAGAAAACCATTATTTTACCTGTAGTACCCACCAGAGGGTCATCTTAGGCTCAGATGAACACTCAGACTAAGACTGCCTTTGATGATCTTGGCCCCATCTGTTCAGAATATCCCGCAGCAGGAGCCCCAGGCTGCCAGCAGGGCAGCATCAACTGCCTATCAGCCTGAGTCCTTAACAGTGGTTCATTCAGGAGACACTCACACAGCCATCCGAAAGGTAAGGTGCAGAGGCGAGATACACATCAGGCAGATTTGGGAGTTGCACTGGCTTAAAAAAGACTCATGTTTCACAGAATTCAAAACCTGTAACAATTCCATAGGAAAGCTTCCAGGGTCCCCAAAAGACATGCCATTTAAAAGAGATACGACATTTAGGGAAGCTCAGAGTATGGGGTTACCATCAGGTATTTCTGTTTCCCTCAGTTCATATGCAGCTTATCTATCTGTCATCTTTTTTTACCGTAAACAATATTGATTAGTAAGACAGTACACCATATACCACTTTGTCATCTAGAACAGCACTGTCCAATAGAAATGTAATGCAAGCCACGTATGTAATTTTAAATTTTCTAGTGGCCAATTTAAAAAGAAAAAGAAGAGCCGGCCCCGTGGCTTAGCGGTTAAGTGCGCGCGCTCTGCTACTGACGGCCCGGGTTCAGATCCCGGGCATGCACCAACGCACCGCTTGTCCGGCCACGCTGAAGCCACGTCCCACATACAGCAACTAGAAGGATGTGCAACTATGACATACAACAATCTACTGGGGCTTTGGAGAAAAAAAAGGGAGGAGGATTGGCAATAGATATTAGCTCAGAGCTGTTCTTCCTCAGCAAAAAGAGGAGGATTAGCGTGGATGTTAGCTCAGGGCTGATCTTCCTCACAAAAAAAATAAATAAAAAATAAAATAAAAAAATAAAAAGAAAATGGTAAAATTAATTTTAATGTATTTTATTTTAGTATATCCCAAATATTATCATTTTTATATGCAATCACTATAAAACTATTGAGATAATTTACATTTCTCTTTGTACTAAGTCTTTGAAATCTGGTGTGTATGTTACACCTACAGCACATCTCAATTCAGTCTAGTCACATGGCTAGTCTTTTTCGCATATTTGGATATAATTGATGAGTAATGATGAAATAATTCTTAGGATGATGAAACAGAAAAAAGTTCCAAGGGAACATTATTCTTATCTTAAAGGAAAAATAATATGATTGCTATCCTGTAGTATATCTCAGTTTTATAAAAGGATCCAGTAGAACCCTGTCTAATTGTAAGAATGAGATTTATTCTGTTTTGAAAATAAGTAAATTTTCCTCTTTGTTCTTTGGAAGGTCTGTAAGAAAGAATAAAAGTCATAAAATGTTAATTCTTACAAATAGAACTGCTTTAAAAATACTCAAAAACTAAAACTTAATTCCATGGACCCTGCTTTTAAGACAGGCACAGGGAAGTATGTCTGTCTCAGTTTTGTTTAACACAGAGACAACAAATTATGTTGGTTTCACTTCTTGGTTTCTCCTACCCCCTGAAAATTTGGTCATTTTCAGCCTTATCTGGAGGATAGACCATTATCCTCTTGGGACATAATTATCCAAATGTACAGAGCTGTTGGTTCTGTCACCATTGTGTATATATGGAAGTCATTTCAACTTCTAAAAGTGTTGTATTTTCTTATTATTTTATTTGGAAGATTATTTGGGTCATTTGCTGACAAAATGGTTCCACAACAGCATTTAAGAGTATAGATTATAATTTGAATACTGCAGTATAGACAAATACTAAGAGAAGGCTTATGATCAGAATTTCTAGTCTGCTTCTAGGCCAGGATCACACACTAGCACCCAAATTAAACCAAAAGAACAGATCCAATCCCTAATCCAAAGAACCTGCAGAAATAGATATGGAGGAATTATCCTGATTACCTAATTTCCTGATTTCCTATTTGTTTCCTGGATCATTTTAGTGATCTTAAAGATTTCAAAGTCTTTAAAGATGTGAGTACAACATTCTTCTCATAAGAGAACAGCGTTTCTCCCTTGGAAAGCCAGTAGTTTTTCTGAACAGAATCTGTTTTGTCCAATTTCGTGGACGAGAGTTCTATGCCTTTGTGACATTGTCTAGGTCTGTTATCTGGACCATATAGTTTTCTCCATTTTGAGGTCCTTTAGTATGCATGACATGAAAAGGCTTGGGGGCAGAAAAAAGCAGTCCAAAATTCTCCTTTAATGGTGGTTGAAGTTTTTTGACACAAATCAAGGTCCAGTTTTTCTCCTCCTTGAATTAAATTATCTAAAGATCTCTTTCTGAGAAGGGAAATTGATGGGGCAAAATGATCCTACAAGATAACAGAGACCATCCTAAAGGCAGGTATTCAGTTTAATGAGGTGACATATCTGATCTCATTTTACAATTGACTTTTGTGTGCAAATCCAGCTTATCTTCAAGGGCCATGCCAGTGGTCTGGTTTTGGTCAAAATGCCCTTCTGGGCTTATCACATGGCATGGTAATATTTTAAATGGTAAACACTCTTGTCTGGAATACATCACAGGAGGTGATATGTCTTTTATCAGAAGACACGGTAATATCTATGCACATCTTTTAGAGTGATAACAGTCCAAGGCCACATTATTCACTTAATTTTTCTCCTTGTGACTGAACAATAATCTGTGTGGTATTACTTTATTATCAAGAAGTATTCATTTCTTTAACAACCTGTCATGTAATGGTTTTAACAACAATTGTTAATCCTCATCAGAATAAAAAATATTGTTTGTAAGATTGTAATTCGTTGCTATTATTTCTTCGGTAAGTATTTCTTGGCCTTCTAAACTAGTACTTTTTGGTTATCTTGAAACATAGTTCCAGTGAAAAGGAGAAGAGAAATTATTTGATTCTTTACTAATGGTTAAATACTTTATAAGTAGGAGATTATTCAACAATGAAGAAGGTTAAAAATGATTTTTCTTTTCCCTTGCAAGAATTATTATGGATTCATCCTTTATTGTCATTGATTCAGAATGTATAATTCAAAATAAATACATATGTGCCTCTTTTGTCATTGTGTTTGCCATAGGGAGTGCCATATCAAGTCTCCTGTTTCTTGGACAAACACGTGAATCTTTGAAATTTTCCTTATTTTTTGGCACAAGATGTCTGAGGTTCACCTTGTACTTTCCCTGCCTCACCCAGGAATTATTCATTTCTTCAAGTATTCCCTATTTTATATTGTTGGATTATCAGTGAACTATTTTTGTAAAATCATCTTTTAATAATATTCTGATTTGTTTCGTCTGGGGGTTTGTTTTTTGTAATCAACCCCTACTGTGTGCTAGAGGGTTCTAGTTTAATGCTAAATGGTGCCTGCTCTTGGGAAGTGTATTAGTTGTCTGTTGCTGCAAAGCAAATTACCACCAACTTAGTAGCTAAGAATGACACTCATTTGTTATCACTGTTGTTATCATGGTTCTGTATGTCACAAGTTCAGCACAGGGTGGCTAAATCAAGGTATCAGCTGTGACTGTGATTTTTCAGGGCATGGGATCCTCTTCCAAGCTCACTGGTTATTGACAGAATTCATTTCTTTCTCACACTTTCCATGCAGCCCCCTCCATCTTCAAGCCAGCAACCAGCAAGTCTTATCCTTCTCACTCTTTGAATGTCTGATTTTCCTTCTGCCCTGAGCAAGGAGAAAGCTCTGCTTTTAAGGGCCTATCCAGATAATCCAGGATAATCTCCTTATCTTAAATCAACTAATTAGTAACCTTGATTATATACTTTTGCCATGTGGGGCAGCATATGCACAGACATGAGGAGGGCAAAGGTCATGAGGGCCGAAATACTATCTACCACAGGTAGGTTTGGGAGAAATAAATTAGAAATCATAACAGAGAAAGAATTATGTAATTGAAAACAGATAGGAATTACAGGAATCAAGTGTTAGGATAGAAAATAAAGGCCTGGACGTCCTTAGACAAAGTCAGCGGTTTACGGTATTCCTGATAAAGTGACATTTTACCTTAAACATGTATAGGATGAGAAAGATCCAGTCTGCAAACAACACATGCCAAAGGATTTTTGGGAGATGACGCCACCTGCAGACGGAACCAAAAGATGAGAAAATTTGTGACACATTCCAGGTGCTGAAAGGGGGAAGTGAGGTAAATAGGGAACCAAGGGAATTATGACTTGCTGTGAGGCCTGATAGGTAAGCAGGGACCATAGTATGCGTGGAGAGATGCGTGGATTCTGTTCTAAGTGTAAAAGGGGACCACGGGGGAAATGAGAGTTCATCTGTATCAGAAGCGTTTGTTAGAAATGTTAAAAATATCAGTGCCCAGGAACTTCCCCTATGTGTTCTGATTCAGGGGTTCTGGGATGGTGCTTGAACATCAGTTTTTTAACAAGCTCTTCAGAGATTCTGATCCACATCTAAATATCAGAAATTAAAACATTTTACTAATCACCAACCTCACTATTTTACATAAACTCTCATTAATTTCTGCATTCTTCCTTGACCTTTTTTTGAATTTCATAATATTTTAGTTTTATCTAAGATATTTATTCCTAATGGATATTATTTTCAATTTATCTCTTTTTTCCCACAGAAATCTAATTTTTCTCATATAGGAAAATAAAATATTTTTGTTTTTTGTTTTCTTTCAGATTTTCAGTTGAAGGATGAGATAATCAGCTGTAAAGAAATGCCCACTTATGAGAAATGTACGTCTTTTTCTCTACATCAGAGAATTCTTAATAGAGAGAAACCATATGAATGTCAGGAATGTGGGAAGACTTTTTGTCAAGGCTCAAAGCCTGTTCAACATGAGAGAATACACTCTAGTGAAAAACCCTACAAATGTGAAGATTGTGGGAAGAACTTTAGTAATGGGCATCAACTTACTACACATCAGAGATTGCACATTGGTGAGAAACCCTATAAATGTAAGGAATGTGGAAAGGCTTTTATTAGAGGCTCAGCCTTTGTTAAACATGGGAGAATTCATACTGGTGAGAAACCATATGAATGTGAGGAAGGTGGAAAGACTTTTAGCAGTAGCCATCAATTTACTGTGCATCAGAGAATTCATATTAGTAAGAAACCATATGAATGTGGGGAACACGGAAAGGCTTTTTATAGTAGCTCATACCTTGTTCAACATCAAAGAATCCATAACAGTGAGAAACCCTATGAATGTAAGGAATGTGGGAAAGCTTTTATAGTGTATGGAAAACTTATTCGGCATCAGAACATTCACACTGGTGAAAAACCTTTTATATGTAAAGAATGTGGGAAGGCCTTTAGTACCTTCTCATACCTTGTTCAGCATCATCGAATTCACACTGGTGAAAAACCCTATGAATGTAAAGAATGTGGGAAGGCCTTTAGTACTAGCTCACCCCTTGTCAAACATCAGAGAATTCATACTGGTGAGAAACCCTACAAATGTAAGGAATGTGGGAAGGCCTTTACTGTGTATGGACAACTTACTCGACATCAGAGTATTCACACTGGTGAGAAACCCTTTGAATGTAAGGAATGTGGGAAGGCCTTTAGACTTAGTTCATTTCTTAGTGCACATCAGAGAATTCACGCAGGGGTAAAGCCCTATGAATGCAAGGAATGCGGGAAAGCCTTTAGTCGTGCCTCATACCTTGTTCAACATGAAAGACTTCATACAGGTGAGAAACCCTATGAGTGTAAGGAGTGTGGCAAGGCCTTCAGTACTGGCTCATACCTTGTTCAGCATCAGAGAATTCATACTGGTGAGAAGCCCTATGAATGTCAGGAATGTGGGAAGGCCTTTATTAGTCGCCATCAACTTACTGTCCATCAGAGGGTTCATACTGGTGAGAAACCCTATGAATGTATGGAATGTGGAAGGGCCTTTAGAGTACATGTACACCTTACACAACATCAGAAAATTCATATTGATGTGAAACCCTATGAGTGTAAGGAATGTGGAAAAACGTTCAGCCGTGCCTCATACCTTGTACAACATGGGAGAATTCACACTGGTGAGAAACCCTACGAGTGTAAGGAATGTGGGAAGGCCTTTAGTTCTGGCTCGTACCTCATTCAACATCAAAGAATTCATACAGGTGAGAAACCTTATGAATGTAACAAATGTGGGAAAGCCTTTACTGTGTATGGACAACTTATTGGACATCAGAGTGTGCACACTGGTGAGAAACCTTTTGAATGTAGGGAATGTGGGAAGACCTTTAGACTTAATTCATTCCTTACTGAACATCAGAGGATACACACTGGTGAGAAACCTTTTAAATGTAAAAAGTGTGGGAAGGCCTTTAGATACAGTTCAGCCCTTAAAGCACATCAGAGAAACCATATGGTTGTAAAACCGTAAGAATTAAAGGAATGTAGGAAGTCCTTTAATTATGGCTCGAACATTGTTCATTGTCAGAGAATTTGTGCTGGTGAGAAACTTTTGAATGTGAAACGTTGGTAGGCCTTTGGAAAATATTCTCATCTTTCTTATATTAGAGAAGTCATAATTCAGAACACATAAGAAAGTCTTCACTTGTCCTTCTTGTGTTTATAATATGAGAATATTCATAGTGGTTACTAGTTCAGAAAAGATGGGAAATGTTAATGCTGACAGCATCCACAGCATGAAATTTTATATGACGTATTCTAATGTGATTGAAAGAATGACTGAATGAATAAATGAATTTAAAAACCTTCCAGTTACTCTTAAATCATGGCTAAACTTCAGATAATTCATCCTGATTTTTAAAAACCAGTAAATTAATACATATTGGAAAGTTTGTGGCATTGGCACACATTAACTGTCATCATTGTCATTCCACGACTTTGTTTGACATTGGGCACCATGTCACCTCACGGCATTGTTTTAAATGACAATAATAGAGCCTACATACTTATAAAAAACCTATTCAATATTTACTAGTGTTATTATCATGTTTTGGTAACTGCTAGTAAAATTTTGAGAGTAAGACCCTACAGATGTAGTTGATTTAGAAATGTCTCTAGGGCTGGCCCCCTGGCTTAGCGGTTACGTGCGTGCGCTCTGCTACTGGCGGCCCAGGTTCGGATCCTGGGCGTGCACCAGTGCACTGCTTCTCTGGCCATGCTGAGGCTGCGTCCCACATACAGCAACTAGAAGGATGTGCAACTATGACATACAACTATCTACTGGGGCTTTGGGGGGCGGGAAGGAGGAGGATTGGGAATGGATGTTAGCTCAGAGCCGGTCTTCCTCAGCAAAAAGAGGAGGATTAGCACGGATGTTAGCTCAGGGCAGATCTTCCTCACAAAAAAAAAAAAAAAAAAAAAGTCCCTATATCCATGCATCAGATAGATCTTTCTGGGTAAAAGGGTAAAACTTTGTAGAAAGAAAGGAACATGGGAGGATATTTATTTAGAATTCATCTCAAGTTGAATCAAACAATTCTTGAAAGATACTCAGCCTTTTAATGTGTGTGAAGATGTTGAGAATAGCCTAAAAGCCACATTCGTTGTCCAAAATAAACTATCCATTTAGACATTTCCAACTTTTTTTTTTTTTTTTTTGGTGAGGAAGATTGGCCCTGAGCTAACATCTCTACCCATCGTCCTCTATTTTGTGTGTGGGATGCAGCCATGGCATGGCTCGATGAGCAGTGTGTAGGTTCATGCCTGGGATCTGAACCTGCAAACCCCAGGCCGCTGAAGTGGAGTGCGCGAGCTTAACCACTATGCCACTGGGCCAGCCCCTTTACAACTTTTTTTAATGGAAATTTCAACATAGAGAAAAGTAGAAAGAATGGTAAAATTGCCACAGTCTTGGTAACATTTTGCTTTATTTATCTCTCCATCTGTACATAGTTATTTCTGCCTGTAAGAGGAAGTTACAGACTTCACCCCTAAATATTAATCTTGTACTCTTGAGTCCCGCCTTTTTACATGATTTTGATTTTGGGGGGAGTCCAAGGAAGTTGTGTTATAGAATGCCTCACGTCCTGTATTTAGTTGTTTCCTCACACTGTCATCTAACTTGTTCCTCTATCCCAGGTTTTTTCTCTATTGGAAGTGATAAAGATGTCTTTGTGTTCTGAAGAGCACTTGCAAGGTAATGCCGCATGTATTTGCAAACACATAATACCAGGTTTTCCCATAGTTAGTAATACTAAGTGTTAAAGCTTGGGTAAGGTGGTCACTGCTGGAATTTCCACTGTACAGCTTCTTTTTGCAATTAGTGATCTGAATAGTGATATTTTTAACATCTTCATTTGGGAAGTGATCCCATGTATGTATAAGTTTGGGATTAAGAGAAAACCAAATTTGAAATTGTGGTCTATTCAGAAAAGAATAATGATGAGATTCTTATGTATCAGAACTTTTGGTATGAGGCCAGAACTGTAATTGGAACATTAATTTTATAATATCAAGATTAATTAGAAAATTAATGCCTGCAGGAAACCAAGATTAAAAGCCAGAATTTCATTTTGTTCATCTCTTTATCCCTACCACCTATATATGCAATAATTGTCACAGTGTATGCAATTAATAAAGCTGTTAAAAGAAGGAATAATTATATTTATTTGTTCTAGGGCCATTTCTTGAAAAGAGTTGCCTTTCTCCATTGAGTTGCTTTGTTGAAAATCAGTAGACTACATAAATATATTTCTGAATACTCTTCTATACCATTGTACCCTGTGTCTTATTCTTCCAATACCAGAGTATTGGTCACTGCACATTTCAAAATTGCTTTGACTGTTGCATTTCCTTTTCAGTTACGTATTTTTAAATCAGCTTGTCAATTCTATTGGGGGAAAATGACTTGGGATTATAATGTGGATTGTATTGAATCTATAGATCAATATGGAGATAATTAACATCTTAACACTGTTGAGTCCACCAATCCATGAACATCTCTCTCCTTTTATTTAGGTCTTCAGTTTCTCTCAGCAATGTTTTGTAACATTCATTGTTCAGTTCTACCCCATATTTTGTTAAACTTATCCTTAAGTGTGTCATAATTCTTGATGTTTGATAAATGCTATTGCTGAATAACTGGAAAATGATATATTGATACAGGGATGATTTTTTGCATGTTGACTTTCCTATGATCTCATTAAATTCGTTTATGAGTTCTAGTAGCTTTTTGTATGTTTCTTAGAATTTTCTACATACAAAACCAGGTCATTTGTGAATAAAGATGCTTTTACTACTGCCTGTCCAGTCTGAATTTTCTTTTCTTACTGCATTTCCTGGGGCATCCAGTACAATGTCGAATAGAAGGGATGTGAGTGGACATCCTTGGCTTTTGTCTAAGCTTGAGGGGAAAACATTCAGTTCTTTACCATTAAATATAATGTTAGCGTTTGATTTTTCATAAATGTCCTTTTTCAGGGTGAGGGATTCCCCTTTTATCATCAAAGTGAGTTGCATATTGTCAAACGCTTCTTCATCAATTGAGATTATCATACAGTTTTTTTGTTTATTTTCTTCATACAATGATTTACATTGATTTTCCAATGTTAGCTCAACTTTTCATTCCTAAGATCATAATATACTTGTATACTATGTATACATTCCTGCCTTCACTTTGCTAATTTTTACTAAAGAATTTTCACATCTATGTTGATGAGGGAATTTTTTGGTTTTTATTTTGGGGTTGTATAATTTACATATAGGAAAATTCACGCTTTTAGATGTACCGTTCTATGGTTTTTGACAAATAGGTACAGTGGTATAACTATAACCACAATTAAGATACAGAATATTTTTATCACCCAAAAATTTCCCTCATGCTCCTGGATAGTCAAGTCCCTTCCCTGTAGCAACAACGGATCTATAGTTGTGATGTTTCCAGATTGTCATGCAAATACAATCAGTGGACTTTTGTTCCTGTCTTTTTTCATTTAGCATAATGCACTTGGGATTCATCCATTTTACTGTGTATCAGCTCATTCATTTTTATTGTTGATAGCAGTGCACCGTATGGGTGAACCAGAATCTGTGTATCCATTCCCTACATGATAGAAGTTTGGGTTGTTTCCAGGTTTTGGCAATCGTGTACACAAACATTTTCATGTCTTTAGGTACAAGTAGTAGTGTTGTCATATGGTAAGTATATGTTTAACTTCATAAGAAATTGCCACACACTGTTTTCCAAAGTGGCTGTACCATTTTACATTCCCACCATCAGTGTATGAGAGTTCCACTTGTTAAACATCCTCACCAGCACTTGGTATTGTCAGCTGTCTTTGTTTTCAGCCATTCTAATAGGTGTCTCATGTCTAATAGGTGGTATCTCATTTGGGTCTTAATTTGCATTTCCCTAATGGCTGATGATGTTCACCATTTTTCCAAGTGCTTATTTGACATCCGTATATCTTGGTGAAGCATTTGTCCAATTTTTTTGCCATTTTTTATGTTTGTTTTTATACTGTTGAGTTTTGAAGAGTTTTTAATATATTATGGATATAAGCTCTTTGTTGGATGTATGATTTGCAAATATTTTTTCCCCAATCCACTTTCTCTTTTCATTCTCTTAACCATCATTTGTAGAGCAAAGGTATTTAATTTTTATATAGTCCAATTTATCAAGTTACTTTATGGATAGTACTTTTGGTGTTATATCTGAACTTTTTGCCTAACCCAAGGTCATGAAAATTTTTTCCTATGTTTCCTTCTCCAAGTTTCATAGTTTTACATTTTATGTTGAGATCTATGATCCATTTTGAAATAACTTTGTATAAGATGTTAGGTTACAGATTGAGGTTTATTTTTCTGCGTGTGGGTGTCCAGTTGTTCCAACATCATTTGTTGAAGATTATCCTTTCTCTATTTGAGTTGCCTTTGCACCTTTCCCCATCTCCTGATAAATATCATGGTGCCTATTACTGGCCCAAGGAAGATTAGATGTATCAGAAAATATTATGAATAACGGTGGAAACTGTTCAACAGGTTCTGATTGATTTATAACCACAGTCTATGAATTCCGATCTTCCTTATTTGGTACTATATGTTTGGGACTCCATGGGCTCCGTAGTGTTTCTCCTGTAAGGCAATAGCAGTGAGTCCAACATACTCACAGCAGCAGCCTCTCCCCCACACCCTCCCCTAACGTGATGGCCACTCATACCATCATATGAGTTTTTATGTCTCTGTTTATCGTATTCCATTTTGCCATTTTATAGGTCTCATTTTGATGGAGTTTGAATGTTTCCTCTCTGTGGAAACTATTCAACCCCCGCCCCCAAATATGCCTACAGATACTGACATTTGCTATTATCAAAATGACGTGATGGCACAAATCACAACTCAACCATAATTTGAAGCACAAACAGCTTCAAATCAGCTGTTTTAATGTGTTACTTTTAAATGTAGGTGGATAGCTGTGGATCACTAAGTATTTGAAAAGTAGGAAAAAAGAAACAATAAAAGAAACATGGAATAAAAACTGCAGAGGAATTAAAAAACTTCAAAATTTATAATATTGTCAGAGAATATGAGAATACATTGCATCCATGAAATAAGGTTCTGTTCAAAATAATAGAAGAATGAAAAGAATACTTGAACATTAAAACTATGATATAAAAAAAGGTGTTCAATAGAGAGATTGAGAGGTAATGTTGGGGAAATATCCCTAAAATTGGGGGAGGAAGAACATAGAGGAAAATGAAAGAAAGAGAATGCTTATAAAGTTAGAGAAAATGTCCAGGAAATGAAAATCTGAATTATAGGTGTCACCAAAAAAAAAAAAAAAAAGAAAATGAGGGGGAAATTTGACCAAAGAAATTAGAAAAACAAATGTGTAAGATCTGAAGGAGAATTATTTAAAGAT